CCTGCTTGCCCCAGCAGGGGAATGTCATTAAACTACAATGCTTCAATCCCATTTTATATTCAATTATTTTACTTCATCTTTATCTTTTGGAAATGGTTTTAGTAAATTATTTTGGTCTTTTATTGCCACTTTCCCAAAATAGTTGGGAAGTAACTTTTTGATCATGTAATAACTCAAATCCATAACAATAAAACTGACCCAGAGGTATGTTATTTCTAAAGTATAAAATTCATTGGCAGGCCTCTAAGTTATAAGTATTTAAGTATGTTCAGTGGGCCACAACTTAAATGTCTGCAGCTAGACCAAAGATTAAAAGACATACTTTGGGGTGTCTACCAAAAGAAAAATGTTGATACTCTTTTGAAATTATATATATAAAATAAAAACACAGAGGAAGGCAAGTAGAAAACCTACAGGTCTGAGAGAAACAATAAACATGATACAAGTCAATTTCAAAGAAATACAATAAAGTCAAAGGGAAAAAGTAAAGAAGGTAGCTGTATAAAGCATGGAAAAAGGCTACATATGAGGAAGGCAGTTATTATTAACCATTCTTTTATCTCTTGGGCCAGTGTTAAATCTTAGTTAAATCTTTTACCTAATCACTGAGGGATTTCTTTTTAACATAATTTATCACTTAAAATATATTTATTTAATGTATTTTCTTCTCTTTCTAAATTGGGACCCTAAACTGAAATGTTTATACAGATTATGGCATCTGCTTGGGTTATTAATGCCATTTAAGCATTTCAGAGTAATGCCAACCTTAATTAAAACGTCACGAAGAGTTTTCATGGAATTAGAAAGAAAAAAATATATTTATTATCACATAGCTACTAACCTGGTTTTTCTTGTGACTGTATCATTGAAGATACTCCGTATCTTTCTTTAGCATAATCCTACAAAAAATGTTTTTGCATTAAGATTTTATTTAAACACTAATAGCATAGTAAACACATAAATAACAGAATGTAAAAATGAATTAGTTTTAACTTTCAGGGCCATTTTATTAATTCAGAGAGTAAGTAGTTTTAAGGTGTGGAAATATGTCATTTACATATGTACTCCATAGAAAAAGGATAAACACCCAGTTTCTGGTTAGTTTGTTTTGAAGATCACCACTCTTGGATAGATATACCATACATGATAGCACTCTCACATAATATACACATTACAACACATCTTAACTACCTTCTTCAAAATGAGAATAAACTACTTCAAAGCAGGGATATAAATTTCCTGTGAAGAGAACAGGATGATGTACCACAGTTTTATTAATTTATTACAGGAAGAGATGTATGAAGAGAACAAACATTTTTGGGTAAGCTTTCTGAGCACCAGATGTCCAGATTTTATAAACTGGAGATGTTGGACATAATCTAACTACATTTGGAAATTGTCATAAAAAAATCCACAAGCTTCCTTTTTCTAAAAATTAGCTTAAGCATACCAGGTTGCAAATGGTTCAAAAATGACAATATCAAACTTATTATATAAAGTCAGGAAGAGGAAACAAGAGACCTACAGTCCAAACCATTATTAACATACTATACTCATTAAGTAGATAAGTGGCCTTTTATTTTAATCTCATTTTACCTCTAAGATGACTTAAGACCCTTCTAGTTATAAAATGACATAACTCAATCACAATGTCTACCTTATATTTAGACCTACCTAACAGCAAGGGTGTACTGCTAATTAATCAGAACAAGAATACATAAAATAATTTCCTTAGATTTTTACATACTTAAGATATGTATGAAACAATTAGTTTATGTCACTCTATAATCATCTGTGGAATCCTTTTCTTTAGATTTGGAGGATATTGGATTTTGTGTTTATATCGAAAATAAACTAGGCAACATGTTAAGAAGCTTACTGCACAAATTTTCTTTTTTTGGTAATAAAAAAAATCCCCACACCTTAAAGATAACCCCAGCCCTAGAAAATAGTTACAAAATATAGCGTCAGGGCAGCATAAATGGGTTATTGTTCATATTCAGCAACCCATTTCCAATTAATATTCTTAAAATGAACTATTCCTTATGTAATTTATCATAAATTCATAATTCCACAACAGAAAAATTAGAAGCTTGGTAGTGATTAAGGGTATTTTACTACAGCACACATAATTTGTAGGATGGTTTCAAACTTTCATTTCTAAAAATGACCACGGGTGTTATGAATACCCACATGACTTTGGGTCACTTCATCTCAATTACATTCTCTGCAACAGTCCCTACCTACTTCACTGGGTCACTTAAGAGGGAGAAAGGAAATAAAGACGTGTTCTTTTATGTTGTCAAAAGGAAAATAGTCATTAAATATATTGACGGATTTAATGTATTTTGCAAAAACATTAGGAAAACAAGGGCTGAGGAAATATCTAGCAGGCATTAAAATTTTCCGGGCTGGTGGTAGTGGATTACGTGAGAGACGTGTCTAACCCAGGGAGGCTTAAGTGTGACCCGCTCCTACTTCCGGGGCAGGAAGTGCTTCACGTCCACTCCACCCGGAGCCATGCTTCTTGTAAGCCAGGCCTGCTCAGGCGCCCGTGTTAAGAAATGCGATTCGGAGTGAGTCTGGACACGCTGCTCGGGCAAAGGCCATGGAGGCCCCCCCGGAGAGGCCTCTGAGCGTCCGCACCCAAAGCCCGCGGCCAGCAGGCAAAGTGCCAACAGGGACCCCGAGAGCAGGGCCCCGCTCACCCTACTCCCTCCCTCAGCGCGATCCGGCCCAGGGGTCTGTCCTCCCAGGCCCGAGGAAAGTGGAAACCCACTTCCGCCGCGTCCATGATCTCCCGCGGCTTCTCCTGAGTCTTGCGGCTGGCGATGGCACTGGGCATCGGGACAGCTGAACAGGGCAGGCGGTCACCACCCTTCCTCGCAGGCTTCCGTAGGGCAGGCCAAAGGGGCTTCTCCTCCGGCACAGTCTCCGCCCTCTCGGCACTCCTGTCGCAGCACACATGCTCCGACTGCGCGTGGAGGGTCGGTTCCGGAAAGATCGCGAGAACCCAGCTCTCTCGAAGTCCCGGAATGCTGTACGGCGCGGGGGTGTGAGACACGGTCTCCTCTTCTAGCCCCTCCCCTAGGCTGTTTAGCTGGAGTAGGAGGGAAATCCCGGGAATTTGTTATAGTCTCGCGGGATTGGCTCTAAGGGGCGGGGTGTTAGGATACTAGTTGACGGGCTTTCGAACTCCACAACTTTAAACCTCTATCCCAGTTACGTCCTCTGCTTTGTTCTATTTTCAGCCATATCTACCCATCCCGGCTTCAGCCGCACACTGTTCCTTAAGCTCAGGCCTCTGCTTTTCCTCGGACTTCCCGCCTTCACGCTCCTCAGCGGCAGTGTAGCTGCCTGGGGTCATAGGAGACCTCGTCGCTGCTGCTGTGTGTATTGGGACACATGAGTGCTGGGGTATAGGCAGTTTGCTTGCTAAGGTAGGGATAGGGTACCGGTCACACGTGATAAGTGAGGTGTAAACACGATGGTACCCTCCAAAACACACACACACAAAATTGCACTGAATCCCTGGATATCTTGTGTTGTTCGAGGCAGTGCATAGTGTTGGTTGTCCAATGGATGAATATCCTTAGGCTTTTTTTTTTTTTTAAATGTCATTCATAAGCCTTTTATTACAATTGAAAGTAACTTGGGGGCTTAGTTAAATACTGTTTCCACTCTAGACTTCTCTGCGTTCCATCAGGTTTTAACTTTCAGTAGTGTCTTAGCCTGGCACAGAGTAGCACAGTTAATAATTATTAAGGAGTGCAGATAGACCCCAGTGCAAATGAAAGGGCATTGGAGGCTGCCTCATTCAGATCCTGGGATATAGCAGTGAGAAGTCAGACATAGTGCCTGACCTTGATTAGCTTACTGTCTGACTGCAGGTGTGAAGTAGAGGTACCAGGTGCTAGGAAAGTTTCTTTAAGGGTATTCACCTCAGGTTTCCCTGAGGAAGTGATACTTAAGCTGAACTCTCAAGTAGGAATGAGAGTCAACTAGGTGAAGAAGGGCTGAAAGAATATTCAAGGCAGAGGGGGTTGGGAGAGAAAGATCATGACTCAGTTTTGGATGTACTGCATATGAGATGAATTTGAGACATTCAGTGGGAGATGTCCAGGCCAGAGACTGATCTTGTGGGGTCTGGAAGTAGAAGCGAGGTCTGGGCTACAAATGACACTTAAGAGGGAGAAAGGAAATAAAGACGTGTTCTTTTATGTTGTCAAAAGGAAAATAGTCATTAAATATATTGACGGATTTAATGTATTTTGCAAAAACATTAGGAAAACAAGGGCTGAGGAAATATCTAGCAGGCATTAAAATTTTCCGGGCTGGTGGTAGTGGATTACGTGAGAGACGTGTCTAACCCAGGGAGGCTTAAGTGTGACCCGCTCCTACTTCCGGGGCAGGAAGTGCTTCACGTCCACTCCACCCGGAGCCATGCTTCTTGTAAGCCAGGCCTGCTCAGGCGCCCGTGTTAAGAAATGCGATTCGGAGTGAGTCTGGACACGCTGCTCGGGCAAAGGCCATGGAGGCCCCCCCGGAGAGGCCTCTGAGCGTCCGCACCCAAAGCCCGCGGCCAGCAGGCAAAGTGCCAACAGGGACCCCGAGAGCAGGGCCCCGCTCACCCTACTCCCTCCCTCAGCGCGATCCGGCCCAGGGGTCTGTCCTCCCAGGCCCGAGGAAAGTGGAAACCCACTTCCGCCGCGTCCATGATCTCCCGCGGCTTCTCCTGAGTCTTGCGGCTGGCGATGGCACTGGGCATCGGGACAGCTGAACAGGGCAGGCGGTCACCACCCTTCCTCGCAGGCTTCCGTAGGGCAGGCCAAAGGGGCTTCTCCTCCGGCACAGTCTCCGCCCTCTCGGCACTCCTGTCGCAGCACACATGCTCCGACTGCGCGTGGAGGGTCGGTTCCGGAAAGATCGCGAGAACCCAGCTCTCTCGAAGTCCCGGAATGCTGTACGGCGCGGGGGTGTGAGACACGGTCTCCTCTTCTAGCCCCTCCCCTAGGCTGTTTAGCTGGAGTAGGAGGGAAATCCCGGGAATTTGTTATAGTCTCGCGGGATTGGCTCTAAGGGGCGGGGTGTTAGGATACTAGTTGACGGGCTTTCGAACTCCACAACTTTAAACCTCTATCCCAGTTACGTCCTCTGCTTTGTTCTATTTTCAGCCATATCTACCCATCCCGGCTTCAGCCGCACACTGTTCCTTAAGCTCAGGCCTCTGCTTTTCCTCGGACTTCCCGCCTTCACGCTCCTCAGCGGCAGTGTAGCTGCCTGGGGTCATAGGAGACCTCGTCTCTTCGCTGCTGTGTATTGGGACACATGAGTGCTGGGGTATAGGCAGTTTGCTTGCTAAGGTAGGGATAGGGTACCGGTCACACGTGATAAGTGAGGTGTAAACACGATGGTACCCTCCAAAACACACACAAAATTGCACTGAATCCCTGGATATCTTGTGTTGTTCGAGGCAGTGCATAGTGTTGGTTGTCCAATGGATGAATATCCTTAGGCTTTTTTTTTTTTTTAAATGTCATTCATAAGCCTTTTATTACAATTGAAAGTAACTTGGGGGCTTAGTTAAATACTGTTTCCACTCTAGACTTCTCTGCGTTCCATCAGGTTTTAACTTTCAGTAGTGTCTTAACCTGGCACAGAGTAGCACAGTTAATAATTATTAAGGAGTGCAGATAGACCCCAGTGCAAATGAAAGGGCATTGGAGGCTGCCTCATTCAGATCCTGGGATATAGCAGTGAGAAGTCAGACATAGTGCCTGACCTTGATTAGCTTACTGTCTGACTGCAGGTGTGAAGTAGAGGTACCAGGTGCTAGGAAAGTTTCTTTAAGGGTATTCACCTCAGGTTTCCCTGAGGAAGTGATACTTAAGCTGAACTCTCAAGTAGGAATGAGAGTCAACTAGGTGAAGAAGGGCTGAAAGAATATTCAAGGCAGAGGGGTTGGGAGAGAAAGATCATGACTCAGTTTTGGATGTACTGCATATGAGATGACTTTGAGACATTCAGTGGGAGATGTCCAGGCCAGAGACTGATCTTGTGGGGTCTGGAAGTAGAAGCGAGGTCTGGGCTACAAATGAAGTATGGGTAATACACCGGCAGGTAGGTGGTAATCGAAGCCCTGGATCAGGAAAGAGAATGGTCCAAGAAGAGTGTCTTAACATTGTCAACAGCTGCCTAGACTTCAAGATGATGACTGAAAAATGTTTGTTGGATTTAGCAACATAGAGGTCATTGGTGTTCTTAAACACTTTATGGTAAAGTGATCTGTCAGATTAGGCTGAGAAATGAGTGATAGTGAAGAAATGAAAGTAAAAGTGATTATAGCAAGGCTTTATTTAGTGCCAAGCACTGTTGTCAGTATTTTACATATACTAACTCACTTAATTCTTACACTAACATTATCAGAGAGATATTATAACTTTTTTACATAGAGGAAATTGAGGCATAGAGAGGTGAGGTAATTGACCATGGTTTCAGAGCCATTAAATGATGTATTTCAATTCAGGTAGTGTGGTGCCAGAATTCATATTCTTTTTTTTTTTTTTTTAATGCCTGCAGCACCTGGTCTTCCTAGGTGGTCTCTCATCCAAGTACTAACCAGGCCCTATCCTGCTTAGCTTCTGAGATCAGACATCAGGCTTGTTCAGGGTGCATGGCGGTAGACCATGGACCATGGCTCCACTGGGGCACAAACCCAGTACCTTCTGTGTGTAAAGCAGCCCTGCTAACTGCTGCACTATGGAACTACATCCCAGAATCCATATTCTTAACTACTATACCTCACTGTCTTTTCTGTCTTGGGGAGACAATGAGAAGGTTAGATGTGAGGGGAAAGGAAAATATAGGTGGTAGCTAATGTGGAATAAGTCAAGTGAAACTTTTTTTTTTTCCCCGAGAGAGACTTAAGTGCATTTAAACTAATGGGAAAGATTCATGAAAAAGATAAATATGTAAGGTAGAGAAGGTTTGAGAGATAGTCTAAAATTTTTTAATGGGAGGTAGTATTCAAAACATAGGAGTTGGGACAATTCCTCTGTCACAACTGGAAGAGAGAAGTCTAGGAGAATTGTAGATGTTTGATTTCAGGAAAATGAGAGAGCACACTTTTGATAACTTCTAATTTCTCTAGAAGCAGCAGCTAAGTCATGAATGGTGGGGTTGGGGATTAGAGGAGTGGGGGAGAAAAATGAGATTGGCAATTTGAGGAGAATAGGAAAGGTTAAAATAGTCCTGGAGATCATTTGGTATTTGATATTATTTCTGGGCATTGTAAGGACCCATCTGATAAGGGATCATACATTGGTTGTGGAAGTGAGATGCCTTCAGTAGTCTGGTACAGTCACAAAGAGGCAGAGAGTTACTTCACATGGTATGGGGTTTTGGTGCTCATGCTGCTTAGCGGAAGGAAGCCCAGAAGAGTAGCCATACAAATGCCATACACATCACAGGCAAATAAGAAGGAAATTTTTTACTTGTAATTTTTTGAAAGTAGACCAACATTGGGCAAATTTATTTATTCTTAAATCAGGATGGAGGAAAGGACAGAGGTTCAAGTAATTGAATGCGGTTTCCAGACAGGTCACCCTGAAATCTGAGGAGTGAAATTTGAAGAAAAGGAGTAAAATTTTATTTCCCATGTAACTGATCAACGATTGTTTATAAACATCTATACTGTGCCAACCATTATGTCAGGTTCTGGTAAGAAAAGGTGAATTAGGATTCTGGTCTCAATAATATATAGGTCAGTTAGTAAGATAGCATGTAACTAATGATAAAGAAATGTGAAAATTGTTATAATATTGGTAAATATATGCATTCCCAGCAGGAGTCCTAAGATTCACTTTGATTGGACCAGCTTAAGGCACATGTCCACTATTGACCTAATCATCATGGCCAGAGAAATTGAGTGTTCTGATTGGCTTAGCCTAGGCAACATGCCCTTTGGAGCTTGGGGTAGAGTTAATTTTACTGGAATTGTATGGAACCCCCTGTCAGAAGCTATGGGACAAGGAAATGGCTCCTGGAAAAGCAACTACAAATATCCACTACAAAGGCCAAGAAGATTTCTGGGCTTTGGGCAAGATGAGCAGACTGTAGGGGAGTGTATGTGGTCAGGATGCTTTGATATACTGTGGTAACAAACTAACCTCCCAAAATCTGAGCAACTAAAAACCGATTTCTTGCTCACGTGTTCATAGTAGGTTACAATGGCCTGTGCTCATATAGTCATTCAGGGACCTAGGTCAATAGATGCTGCATCTTGACACATGCTTCTGTCATAACCGAGGCAGAGAAAAGAGAACTTAGCTCTTAAGTGGCTACCTGGAGGTGACATAGTTCACATTCTGCTCCTATTTCATTGGTCAAACAAGTCACTGGCCATTCCTAAATTCAACAGGGTGGGACAGTTTACTCATTCCTTAGGGAGCAGCACTGAATGTTTTCCATTAGTAAAACATTTTATAATACTCATGAGGTTCCAACATGGATAGGGTTTCCAAAGCTGCTTCATCTTGGGATTTTTAAAAAGCTTTTATTCCCTCAATTAGATATAGTCTTATGTATGAATTGTTGGTCAGAAATCTGAATACAAATCCTATATATTGTTCTTTCGTTAGGGTAGGAAATTTACCTTTCCATCTTTCCATTGCCCATGAGGCCTCTGCATGTACTCCTTAATTACTTTGATCCCCTTGCCTTGATAGATTATTCTTATTTGGGACATATCCTTGAGTGAAGACTGTGAATATATTCTCTTGCTTCTGGCACTCTTTCTTGATAGTGATGGAAAAAAATTTGCCAAATCAATGGCCACATAACATGTGCCTGAGTTCTTGAGAATCTGCTCTAGTCTACTATCAACGTCCTGAATCTAATTTTTGTGGAAGCCAGACTGGTGAAAATAGGAATATGATGGGAACTATCAACTATCAGGTCTTTAAGCATTGCACTAATCTATGCCATTCCCCCTGGGGATGTAACATTATTTATGATTTACTGTTCTAGTGGGGGCTGGGGAAGCACATTTAGAGGTTTGCTATTAGCTTTTTGCAATATGACAGCCTTATCTCACAGGCCAAGGAACTGTAAGGAAACAGCTCCACCATATCACCTGACTTCCTTGCAGGTATCCATGTAGGCAAGAGCTGGCTTAAACTGCCGCTAATATGAGTCTTGGAAAAATGACTTGTGATCCTCCTGAAACAGAAGGGGATGAGAGGCGATCTCCCACTGGCTTCTCTATCTCCCCTGGGATGAGGCCTGGGATTTTCTGCCATTACCCTCCCACCAATGAAGTTGCACAATATAAAACTGTGTAGCTGGAGCCTAGAAGTGGCTCCTCAGCAACAGGATAGCTCGTAACTCACATTGCAGTCATTTGGTCCCTTTTGTTTCAGTGACGTTCTTTTTGGTGTGTAGGACAAGGATCACGGGAGCTGGCATCTTTGGTTTATTTTTCTTTTCACTGTGTAAGTAACAAACTGTCTAAATCCAAAAGTGGCTTGTTGCATCGTTACTGATTGAATCAATCAGAACTTGATTTTAGCCTCACTTGTCTTGTGTGTTCCTGACTTGACAGGAATGATTGTGGGGTTCTGCCAACTATCCAGTGTGTCCATTCCAAATGATATATCCAGGAAAATGACTATCGGTAGGCCCCCAAGGACCAGTTCGAGGTGGTGGTGTTAAGAGATTTGAAACAACATTATGATTCCTAATCCTTTGGAACTGGTCTCCCTTATCCACCATTTCACTTTCTGTGGTTTCAGTTACTTGCAGTCAACCACGATACGAAAATATTTTATGAAAACTCCTAGAAATAAACATTTCATAAGTTTCAAATTGCACGTCATTCTAAGTAGCTTGATGAAATCTCATAGCATGTTGTCCAGGACTTGACTCATCCTTT